ACCCTGCCCAAGACCTGAATTGTGGGTTTACAGTTTAGAATCTGTGAAAACAGGTGCAGTTTCCCCACCTTTGACCCCTGGACATTTAGACCTTCTATATCTGGCAGAGGGCATATGTAGTTGGCCATAGCACCATGCTGACTGTCCTTCCAGGGGGACTAGGACAGAGGCTAGCAAGAGAAAGCTCCTGTTTTGCCTTTGCTCTGTTTTCTTTCTTTTCTTCCAATGGCAGAGGCAGAGGCTAACACTTTGCTGTGTGGAGGGCAATGTCTTGGGGTATTGAGGCTATAAGGAGGGTGGAAGGATTGAGGAGAATTCTGGGATGCCCAGGACAGTAAGGCTTGGAATATGGATTTCTCTGAGACAGGAAGTGGAGACAGTCAGGCAACAACTTCATCTTTATAAATCCCAGGCTCTGGTCAGATAACCCACTCCTCCAAACCTATTTTAAGAGGGAAAGTTATATACATATGACTACCAGACCCAGACTCTAGCTCTGTCCCATTCTGACTTTGGCGTTTTTTATATTTGGAGGCCTTCCACTGATTGGCCATTAGTCCAATGAGTTATTGTCGGCTAAACAGAGGTCACTGGGAGAGAGACATCCAATCTGTCAGGAGAGACCCTGCCAGCCGGCCACAAGAAGTGGTCTGAGCCCTTCAGCCAGTCTTGCCACCGCCTCCCTCCTTCCCCCAGCATCCTCCCCTGGCCATCCAGGATTCACAAGTCACTCCCCCTCTTCCCTCTGCCTCTCCACCCTGCCTACCTTTGTCTTGTCTACACTGGATAGGGGTGGGCTTTGCCAGGACTGAGCTTCTAGATGTCCCTAATTCAGAGATAGATCTTTCATCACCAAAGAGCCTGCCTGCTGCTGCTGCCACTCCAGGTTGTTGTCCTATCATTCAGGTTCAGGGGGCTTCCACAGGCACCCAGTAGACTTCCTAGATCCTTGTGGTTGTTCTGTGTCTTTCTGCCCCCCCCCCCCTCTTATCCTGAGGCAGAGGTGGGGTGATTCAGCCTGGCTTTTCTTTTCTTCTCTCATTGGGGCGGGCTCTCTCTCTCCTCCCTCCTGGAGTTATCATCAGCTTCAGATACCCGCCTTGGGGAAAGAGCTCAGCTCCTCTTCTTCCTATGTTTCTTTGTTCCTTCCCACTCAAGCATTTTTAGAGAGCCAGGGACTAGGGAAACAAATGTCTAGTCTACAAAGCCATCTGCATTCACAATCCCCTCCTTTTACAAAGCTTTAAGCTTTAAAATCTCCATTAATATTTAAGAAGAGAAGGAGATGTGCATGAATTCTGCAGTACTTGGTGGCTGCCACAGACTTGGGAGGCCACACTAGGAAAGAGACTGGGACAGGGAACCCAGACAAGGGTGAGCAAGAAACAAACCGTTAAATGCCGCTGCAGCTCCAGCAGGTCCACAGGGCCAGAGAAGTTTTCTGCTGTTTTAACTGAGTCTGGGATTCTTGGTCACCAGAAGACTGAGAGCAGAAATTGGTTTTAAATGAGCCAGCCCTGTTTGCCCTTACTGAGAAAATTTTTCGTTCTCTCTTTAATGGATTTTTTTTGGGGGGGAGGGTGGGTAGAGATAGTCATGCTGAGGCTCCCAAGGATGGGCAGCCAGTGACTGACCACTCAGATGTTGCCTACAGTGCTCTGCTCCTAGCATGACTGAGTGCCTAGTAGGAGTCGGGGAGGAGAGTGCCAAGCTCTCACTGTCTCTAAGGGGCAGAAAGGAAGTCTGTGAAGGGGGATGCCTTGTCCTGTTTTTTTTTAATATATATACTTATTATTAATTTCTGCCTTTATTAGTTCACATTGGCTATCTGTCTCTCAATTTTTTCATTTCTCCTCTTTTATCTTTTTCTTCTCCCCTCCCACAAAGTTACCAAGTCCTCCGACTCCAGAAGAAAATTGTTCCCTGTTTGTCTGCCTCTAACTAACCCTAAATCACGCCTTCTATTCCACCTGCCTTCTGTCAGACCTCAGAGACTACTCTCAGACCCTCTGAGGTCCTCTACCCCAAGCTCCTTTGTCTCTTAAATTTGAAAAGGCTCCGAACCCACCACTCTCTCACAGCTGCTGGCTGATTCCCCTCTGTACCCTGCCACCTCCCAGCTTCACGGGCAACTCCCTGTAGCCTAGAAGGAAAGTGCCAGTAAGAAGCCAAAGGAGGATCTAACTGTTCCCCAAGTATTTCAAATGGATGCTGTTTTCACAAATTGATCAGGAAACCTCAGATTCAGCTCCTACCCAACTTGGGAGTGCATATTCTCTGGAATTTTCTCCCTGTTCCTGGCTCCCCCCCCCCCCCAATCCTCCTTTTTCCTCTTGACCCTGGATGTTCCTCTTCACCCATGAGGGATGAAGAAGGCTTGGGAAGAGAGGGTCTTTTGCTCACTCTGGAGCAGTTTCCACCCCCACCCCCTCAGTGTAATCCGGACCCCTGCAGTAGCTCCTCTCTGGCCCCCAAAGTGTCTAGGTGACACCTAAGCTCTTTGGTTATTCCTTTAGGCAGAATTGCGCAGTCCTGAAAGTAACCAGCTACTCCTCCCAGTTTCATAATAACCATCCCTAGCCAGTGGTGGAAACTTTCAGGTGAGCTCGAGAGTCTGAAATACATTTTTTTAAAAACTTTTTATTTTAGGGAACTAGAGAAAAAGAGTTGGTTGTCTAAGTTCCCTGAAGCCTCTGGAAGCACCCTTGGCCTGAACTGCTGACCCACCAGACCTAAACTTCTTTGGCATCTCGCCCTCTAGATCTTTTACCAGAGTTGTTGGGTATTGGGACCGTTCTTCAGGAGGCTCCTGGCCTGAGCCCCAACACTTCAACATATTTTTGTTATTGTTGAGACTATTAATAAACAGCAAAATGGCTCCCAACTTCTCCACTTAACCCCTCAACTCCCACCTACTTCCAGCCACCACCTCCCCGAGGAGTCACCAACTCTGGGCAGACAGTAGGATGTCAGGTATCATATCTAGGACGCTGTATGTGACTCCTGTTGCTGAAAGCCACAGGTTCCCTCTGGGTAACAGGCCCCAGGAAACCAATTGCTGCAGCCAATTTGAAGTGATTTGATGGGCTTAGAAATATTGGGGAGGGGTGCTAGAAGCCTGGAGCCACCCCCCCCACCTTCCCACTCCTAGAGAAGAACTTTTGAGTGGGGAAGGGGGTAAGAGAACTAATGCTAGAGCCAGACCAAGCCATCCTCCCTGGGAGGGGAGACAATAGTGGGCCATCTCTCACCTTCGTTTTCCCCAGTCCCATCGCCTGTCCTGGTGTATCCAGATGGGAGAAGGCAAAAACCAAGTGTCCCAACCAGGAATTCTGCTCAGGGTCCTGGCTGGACATGTCTACCCGAAGTCAGAGACCCAGTTTCCAAGCCTTCTGTCCACGTAGAAGAGAGACCCCCGGCAGCCTTCTGTATCATCCCCTAAGCCCGGAGTCAGCAGTAATTCAGCCTGCAAGCACTCCAGCTTGAAGAAATGACCTGTTCTCTTTTTTTCTGTCTCTTGCCTCTACTGCCAATGGCTCTTTCCCCACCCCCTGCCCCAAATTTGCAGACAGCTACATTCTTGGCTCCTGTCTCCCTCCTACGGGCCTCCTCCTTGCCTTTGCCTGCCCTGCTCAAACACACCCTAAGAAAACTTTTAGCTTTTGTAGCCTTCTTTTCTTTGCTTGTGCCAAGAGTCATAAATCTTGCCACGCAGAGCTTAGTTGTAGTAGGGAAACAAACAGGTTTGCTCTGTGTGATAATAATAATCACCATCATCTTCTCTCCTGTCCGCCAGTACCTTTAAGACAAAGCCATTGTGAAGTTTTTCTCATCTTCCCAGGAGTACAAATGTCCTTTTCACCTCCTAGCCCCTTCTGCCAGTCCCGAGGTGAGAATCTTAACAGGAAAGACTCACTGAAGTTCCCAGAGCCCTGCTCCTGACCGGCTGTCTGGAGCTGCAGCTAAACCACAGGGTCTTGCTTTTGTCACCCCTTCAACCCCACTCCCCCTGCAAGATGTTCTGGGCTTTTTAATCATCACTTACCGCTAGTTGTCTGTTCTCAGAAAAAAAAAGAGGGGATGGGAAAAAAAAAGTCTGGCCTTGCCTCCTCCCCCACTGGAGACTGGGTTTGGAGATTTGGGGGCTGGGGGTGGAGGATGTCGAAGAAAGAAGGACCAGGGTCTGGAAGGTTCAGCAAGAGGGTCTGAGACTCAGCCAGCAGACTACTTAAAAAAAAAAAGTCTCTGTGCGCCTACTGTGAATGCGCACAGGAGGGGCACCCAGCGGCCCTGGCCCAGCCAGGCCAGCCTCAGACTAGGTCTCCAGAGGCTACTTCTTGGATTAGCATAATGGTCCAGTATGAGGCCTGGATGGGGGGGGGGGCGCAATCTGTGAACTCCACCAGCTTTCTTTGCATTTTGTTCTCCTTTTCCGCTCTGACCTCGATGTAAAAATTTTATCTGTTTTTAAAACAAAACAAGAGAAGACCACCCTCTACTTTCTTTGCTTTGCACTCTTATTTGGGGGAGGGGTACTCGCCCCCCCCCCAGCGCTCATCACCACAATCACCTTCCCTCCTTATCAGGCATCTATGCTTGCTAAAGGGGGAGAGGTGGGGGGGTGAGCTTGGGTGTGTGTGTCTGTGTCTGTGTGTGTCTGTGGTTTTTTTCCCTGTGCAAAAGCAGAGGCCATTGTTACAGAGAGTAGGGCGTACCAGTCTTATAGGGCAACCACACTGTGGCGGCTTGGCCGAGCTGGAGCCCGGAGCTGGATTTTCGGCGAGCCGAGCCTCCCAGCACCTTTCGGTCTGCTATTTTTTTCCTCCGCTCCCCTACCCCTCCCTCCTGCGCACCCCCCGCTCCAAAGCCGAGTGAATTGAAGCGGACGCCGCACGGCTCCTCTGGCCGGTCTGCCCCTCGGGCTCCCCAGCCGGGGTGGCTTTGGGGAGGGGGGGCGACGCAGCTTTAAACAGTGGTCTTTTTTTTCCTTTGCCTTCAAGGAGGGGAGATTTCTCGCCTGCCGCTCGCGCTGAGGCTCGATGTGAATATATATTATGTCTGCCTGTTCTCCCCTCGTCGGTGGCTAAGGTAAGCTGGACTGAAATAGGCTATCAGTTTGTGAATGGCGGAGAGTATGTCTCAATGATTTATGGCCCATATGACTCCAATCTCGGTTCAAGAAGAGTTCACAAGCTTTAAGCTTCCTTCCACGCAGCGAGTGACTCTCTCTCTCTCTCTCTCTCTCTCCCTCTCCCTCTCTCTCCTCTCTCCCCCTCCCTCCCTCCCTCTCTCTTTCTCTCTTCTCTCTCTCTCTCTCTCTCTCTCTCTCCTTCTCTCCTTTTCTGCTCTTTTTTTCCCCAGAAGCCAGATCTAGGGCTGAATCTCCTCCCCCGTTTGCTAAGAAGAGCTGAACCTTTTTCTTTCCCTTTCTTATTCTTTCAATTTTTCTTCCTTTCATTAATTTTTTAAAAAGTCCTGGAAGGTGGCCTATCCTCTCTCCTGGGGTTTTTCCAGCTATTGTTAACCTTCCCAGCTCTCCCAGGATTGTGCCTGGAAAGGTGGTGTTCTGGAGGGGGGCTTGCCTCCCTTCTCTAGCGAGACTCTGAGGGGGAAGCCGGGAACCACTGTTTCCCTCCCACCCTTCCGAAGAGCCATATGGAGTCTGAATTTTTCCAACATGGAGGCAGGGGAAATAGACATGTTTGACTGGGTAGAGATGTTCCCCACCCCCTCTTCTGGATCCCAGCTCTCAGATCCCCGCGGTCCCTTCCCTTACTGTCCCGTCAGCCGGGCCTCTGCGCCTTCCAGCCAGGAGTCCTGTTGGGCAAAGTCCCGGAGCAGAGTTGCCAAGGCGCCTTTTAATTCGGTTACCTCCAGCGCCAAACTTGCCGCCGCCGGGCTCGGCCCGGGCCCGGCCCGGTGTGCTTGGAACCTGCCGCAGCCAACCAATTCGGCGTCCCGATCGGTTTCTCCTCGCTTCCTTGAGCCTGAGTAGGAGGCTGGTAGCTTCTCTCCAACCACCGAGGCAGCAACGGCCAGACAGCCCGCCTGCCGCGGCAGCTGGAGGCTCTCGGAATCCACAAACCTTCCTGGCCCTGCCTCACCGCCAGCGGAGTCTCCATTCTTTTCTATCACTCACGTCTCTGGCTCCTTCGCTTCCCACACTTGCCTGGCCTCTGTCCTGAAATGGTTTGGGGCTTATTGCTGGGGGAGCGACCGAAATTTCAGGCCCAGGCGTCTAGTCAAATTGCTAGGTTTTTATTTATTATTATTACTACTATGACCATCATCATTATTGCTGTAACAATCACTTAGACTAAATAAAGCCAGGGCCCAGCCAGCTAACCCCCTCCAACGTTTTTATTTCATTCTCTTTTCTATCTATTAATAACAAACTCAACTGATGCCGGTTAATTAATTCTCCCTTTCAGCCAGGGCTGCTCCGAAGCTAATTTTGGTTAAATCATCAGAGGCTAATGGTAATAATAATAAAGGGATTGGGTCAGCCTGGTCAATTGAACTCCAGTCCTCCCTGGAAGGACCTGCTGCTTAGCAGACCCATGTGTATTTCCAGAATCAGAAATTTCTCGGAAACCAATCGGAACTCAGGGCAGCATTAGCTCCCTTTTAAGTATGAATCTGCCGTTCAGAGCAGCGTTGTGTAGGGGAGGGACTCACTCTTCCTGCATTCCTCTCATTTATTTTTACTGATTTATCTTTGGAGTTGACCAGCTGAGCTGAATGATATTTTAAGTTTTTCCAAAAGCACACAGCACAGAAAGGCTCAGTCTGAAGGGTTAAGGGACGTACCACCACCCACTGAGGGCTGGAGAAGATACAGAGAGGAGAGATACAGGCAGAAATCTGGGAAGAAATACAAAATCCCCTGACGAGATTAAGCTTTATTTTTCCGGTGCACTTTTGAAAGGCTGTATTAAAATAGCGACAGTAATTTTATTATTATTTTTTTGATGTTGGGAGCCTCAGTAAACAGCCCCCCTTTCAAACCCAGAGAAGAACAGTGTTCAAATTGTTTTGTGGGTCTTTTTCATCCTGAATAATTTCCCCCATCTCAGTAGAAAATTTCAGCAGTTGCGCAATCTTTCCTTTTTACTTTTTTTTTCCCTGAGAAAGAAAAGAAAACAGACTATTATGGAAAGGTTGGGGGAGAACCAAGCCAAATGGTCGTAGCACCAACCGGTCTTGCCTGGGAAATCTAAACAATCCTGGTCCATTTGGAGGCTCCACAGGGGCCGCAGGCTGCTAGATCCCTGGCTTGCCTGAGCCAAGACTGGAGGTGATGGTACCTGCAGATGGGACATGGATGGATGAAGCCTGGTTCCATGGCTCTGGGGGTTAAAAATCTTCAGGAATTTTCTACCTTAGGCTGTTATGATCTTCCTGGAGGGAAGGGTCCCAGATGAACTTGCTTTTCAGTCTGGCTTGGATCCAAGATCTGCAAGTTCCTTCCAGGTTAGACTTTGCTTAGGTGGAAGGATCTGGAGTGAGGGAGAGAGGGAGGGAGGGAGAGGAGACAGAGAAGTTTCTACACTGGAACGTGGGCCTCCAAGATGCTTTTATTTTGGAGTCTAATAGTGCCCCCTCCCTGGCAGTGCCCTACTCCAGAGTTGGGAGGAGGTGAGCAGATATTGTAGGAGAGGCCAGGGCTGGCACACAAGCAGGAGAGAAGGAAGCAATGGTCCACGAAGCAATTCTATTCCCAAGCATTCCCCCAATGGAGTACAATTCTGATTTTTTTTAAAATCGAAATGAAAGTCGGTGTTTTGTTTTGTTTCCTTTAAAATTAAAGTTGAAGCAAGAAGCATCCATGTCAGGTCAGATACTTGGTCCCAGCGTCTGCTGCAGAAAGACTGGCGAGGAGAGAAGAAAAAAAAAAACCCTATTGATGTCAGTTCCCTTTTTAGTTCCTAAGATGGATTCGAGGCCCAGTCCTCTTCTCCCCCTGTGTCTCTTCTCTCGCCCCGCAGGTCAGCCGCTTGGAACAGACCCGGGAGGAGGGGGGCAGAAAGGGGAGGGGGGTCCGGCGTGTCACGTGACCCCCAGGGGTGCCAATGTCCGGTCGTGAGGGTATCAGGCCCTTGCAAGTTGCCACCCACTGCCCGGGCCTCGCCCAGCGATGCAGAAAGCCACCTACTACGACAACACAGCAGCTGCGCTCTTCGGAGGCTACTCCTCGTACCCTGGCAGCAATGGTTTCGGCTACGACGGGCCTCCCCAGCCCCCCTTCCAGGCCGCTACGCACCTGGAGGGTGACTACCAGCGCTCAGCGTGTTCCCTGCAGTCCCTGGGCAATGCCGCCCCACATGCCAAGAGCAAGGAGCTCAACGGCAGCTGCATGAGGCCCGGCCTGGCCCCAGAGCCCCTGCCCGCCCCGCCGGGCTCACCCCCACCCAGCGCAGCACCTACCAGTACCACTAGCAACAGCAATAACGGGGGAGGGCCCCCCAAAAGCGGCCCCCCCAAGTGCGGTCCCGGCTCCAACTCCACCCTCACCAAACAGATATTCCCTTGGATGAAAGAGTCGAGGCAAACGTCCAAGCTGAAAAACAGCTCCCCCGGCACAGGTACCAGCTCTCTGCCTTCATCGTCAGCTTTTGTCCAGTTCAGGAATGTCACTGTTATTCTAGCACCAACCCCTAGGCGCCCACAAGGCGCCTGGGAACAATATTAGGTGGCTGCCTGGTGGTCCTCCCTCCTCCCGTACCTCCTCTCACCACCTGATGACCTCTGACCCTGCCAAAACCCAGTCCCTCCAGCCATCCTCCTCTTGGGTTTCCAAGAATTTCCAGGAGGTGGGAAGGTTGGCCTCAGAGCCCTTCCCAAGGCCGCATCGCCTGGAGGGCACAGAGTCATCAAGGACAGATTATTATTAAGTATGATTACTGTGGGTATTAATCACCATCGCTCAGGCGGCTTGGGGTCCTGGCCTTCAGCCACCGCAGTCTTTAGTGCCACACTTCCAGGGCCTGCTCACCAGTGTCCAGTCCCCCCAAGGTGTTCTCAGTCACCCATCCTGTAAAGAGGACGGACAGAAGGGGATCATCTCAGACTTGTATTTGGATATATACAGGGGAGGGGTGCGCGCACACGCAAAAATCTAACCCTAAATAAATGGCCACGCAGCTCTGTCTGTGTGACATGATCAAATTTTCATAAGCTGGGGCAGTGAAAGGAGAACAGGTCTCTTAATAAATGCCACTATTATAGAGTGTCCGCTAATGCGACGGGAGGTGGGAGGGGGGTGTTGAGGAGGAGGCGGGGACGGGAAGGGGAGGGTGGCGGGGCTTTCGGAGTCCAGACCTGGATTTATTAAGAAACGATGCATTCAATTTCGGCGTGTTCAGTAATTATCTTTTATTTCATTTTCTCCCCTTCCCGCCCCTCCCCCTCGGGTCCAGCAGAAGGTTGTGGTGGCGGCGGCGGCGGCGGTGGCAGCGGCGGCGGTAGCAGCGGCGGGGGCGGCAGTGGCGGCGGGGGAGGGGACAAGAGCCCCCCGGGGTCAGCGGCGTCCAAGCGGGCGCGGACGGCGTACACAAGCGCGCAGCTGGTTGAGCTGGAGAAAGAGTTCCACTTCAACCGCTACTTGTGCCGGCCGCGCCGCGTGGAGATGGCCAATCTGCTGAACCTCAGCGAGCGCCAGATCAAGATCTGGTTCCAGAACCGCCGCATGAAATACAAGAAAGACCAGAAGGCCAAAGGGCTGGCCTCTTCGTCCGGGGGTCCCTCTCCGGCCGGCAGCCCCCCGCAACCCATGCAGTCCACGGCCGGCTTCATGAACGCCTTACATTCTATGACTCCCAGCTATGACAGCCCGTCCCCACCAGCCTTCGGTAAAGGCCACCAGAATGCCTACGCGCTGCCCTCCAACTACCAGCCCCCTCTCAAGGGTTGCGGCGCCCCACAGAAGTACCCCCCGACCCCGGCGCCCGAGTACGAGCCCCACGTCCTCCAAGCCAACGGGGGCGCCTATGGGACACCCACCATGCAGGGCAGCCCGGTGTATGTGGGCGGGGGTGGCTACGCGGATCCGCTGCCGCCCCCTGCCGGCCCCTCCCTCTACGGCCTCAATCACCTTTCCCATCACCCCTCGGGGAACCTGGACTACAATGGGACGCCCCCTATGGCCCCCAGCCAGCATCACGGACCCTGTGATCCTCACCCCACCTACACAGACCTCTCCTCTCACCACGCGTCTCAGGGTAGAATTCAAGAAGCACCCAAATTGACACACCTGTGATGTGAGGGGCAGGTGTGTGTGGGGGGGGAATCAAGGGCCTGGGAGGTTGTGGAGCTGGTTGTGGGGGCGGTTTGGAGGCCTGTGTGTGTGTTGGGGTTGTTGCAGGTTTCCAGGGACAAGGTAGGCCTTGGGCGCCTCCCCCCCCTTCCCTTGGCCTGAGGCTGTCTTGAAGGCCTCCAAGCCTGGTTCCATCTGCCAGCCCACACCCTTGGAAAGGAATCCACAGCAGGTTGGAGGCGACCACATCTATCCCAGGGCTCCAGCACTACCAAGTTGGAATTTCAGATTGGAGAGGGAGTCGGGTAGAGGGAACCCAGATAGGAAAGCAGGGCAGAGAAGCACATTCAAAATTGATGACTTGGCGTTCATCAACCAACCGACTTACCTTCCATCTCTGTGAGCAATTCCCCCAAATCTTGACTTACTTTTTTTTGGTCTTCCCTTTCATTCTCCTTATGAAAAATAAGAAAACACATTTCAATCTAAGGGCACAAAATGTTTTCCTCCCACTCCCCCAAGCCTCAATTTGCCCCCCATCTATTTGAGGCTTCCTGCCATGCCCACCATGCCTAGCCCCACAATTTTCTGCTCTAAGGACATTCATATCTATACCCCCACCCCTACTGATTACATGTTCCAGAGGGCTCAGGGATGGTGAGAGATCCTGAAAGTTAGAGCTGCCTATAATATAAATATATATATTTTTTTCTTTTAAGAAAAAGTTAAGAGACTAAGGCAGGCAAGTTGTCAGGACTGGAGGTTTGCCACTCTTCGTCTCCTCAGCTCCCACCCCATCCCACACTCTCTCCCTGGAAAGCAATCCACTCGAAGCTCTCCACTTTCCTTTTTCTTCTGTTATTCTCTTGACTTAACGTGAAAACAGGGTATATTTGAACAAACTGTCTGTCCTAGGCAGGGGCTGCAGCTGGGCCTGTGGACCTTGCTCCAGTTCCTGACAGGGCACTCTCTTGTTGCACTTGGAGTTTACATTTTAATGGATATTAAAAAAAAAAAAACAACTGTGAGAGATGTCTGGGCCTGAGGAAGTCCAGCTTCCCTCAAAAAGCGTGTGTTCTAGTGAACATTTTCATATATATTTATTGGTTATAGCCTGTTGAAATATTTTCTTTTTTTGTATTATTTATCCCCCTACATTATGTATTTATATGAGGAACAAAAAAGGAAAAAATGTACTTTTTTAGTATTTACTTGTTATAAAGGATGTTGTGTTTCCTGTCATGTAAAACCAGCTATTTTAGTTTTTATTGTATTCTAGATGAGAGCTGTAGATTTATGTTAAACTTGTACTTATGAGCAATTGTAATTAGTTCTAAAAGGCATGAACTCAGCTCCTAATGGTCACTGTACAGTCCTGAATTTGTAGAGTTAGAGTTAATTCTCTCTTGGAACTTTCTTTATTCTTCTGTAGTTACTTTTTTCCCCCTTAGTTAAAAGGGTTGTCTGTCAAAACAATTCTTGAATAAACTTTCTGTTATCAATTTTATCTTGTCCTGGTGGTCCAATTCAGATCACAGAGAAAAGGTTCCAATTGCCAATATCCCCTAAGAGGGAGGGCATTTTTGTCCACTACTCCGGCCCCTGTCTCCTCTCCAGCTTTTTCTCCTGGTTTGAATTCTGGGTTTTTGACATTCATAGCAGTCTAGACTATTCTGCCAAGTTCTTCAGCTAAGGTTTAAGTAACAAGTTGGGGGAGGGAAGGGAATCTTGGGCTGTCTGCTAGCCTCTTTGCCTCTCTATTTTTGTTTTTGGCCTTTCTTTTTCCTTAGACCACCACCTCCATGCACCCCTCTGCCCACCGCAAACCAAAGCAAAATCTAGCTTATTGCTGCTTCTTCCAGGCAACCTAAACTTCAGGGTTCTCTTCCGGAGCTACAAGGAGGCTGTCACGTGACCAGAAGCCCAACCACCATTGGGTCTAAAATGAAAACAAAGGAAAATGATTAATCTGGGGGAAAAAAAACAACAACAAACCGAGGCCTAGACTTCTCAGGTCAAGCCTTAGAACTAAAGTGAAATTAAATCATTAAATGAAGCCCGGGGCAGAGGAAGAGGAGGCCGGTTTGATTTCTCCTGCCAGGGAAAGAGGGAGGAGCGAGGGAAGCTGTTGAAACCAAGCTTAAATAAAATGGTCCCCAGGCTGATGTGAGGCTCTGTTTCCACGATCCTTGGGAAAACTTCATTTCTTAGTCCTGGTTCCATAAAAGTTTTATCACATTGGAGCGAGGCTAGAGAGGGTCTGTCAGAGATGAAATGTCACCACCGCATCGCAGTCTCCGATAAAGAGCGAGGAGACAGGGAGGCTGAAATATGGGGCTAATTCGCTGAAAGAGAGGCGACGGCTGCTTGCTGAAGAGTTGCATAATTCTAATTGTGAGCCTTGCGCCCGCATCGCTTAATTGGGAGCATATATTTGGTGATACTGGTGATATGGGGAGGAGGTGAGAGGCGGTCCAGACCCTCCGCCTTAAAGCCAGGGCTGGTTTTCATTTTTATGTGGCTTCCTGGCAGTCCAAGGTTAATAATTACAGTCTTTATGCAACAATAAATAACAATAAAAAACAACCTGAATAATACACCCCCTCCCCACCAAGCAGATTAAAAAAAAAAAACTGGACGTGGCTCATCGAGGCAGCAAGCAATTTAGCATTGGGTCAGGCTATAAATTAAAGGCAGAGGAGCGTGCAAAGTTTGATTGGGATCAAATGACGCTCAAGGGTCTGTCTTTCCTTCCCTTTTTCTCGTCCCTGAGTAACTTTTTCTGAATGATGTAACTACCTGAAGGGTCCTGTTTGGCTCTGAGGGTGGAGGGAGAGGTGGATTGCTTATTTATCTAGCTGGAGAGGCCAGGATTAAGAGAGACTTTAGCTAGCTAGATAAAAAGCAGTGCTTTGGCTTGAAGCTGGGGCTATAAACAAAACTAGAACCTTCCCTTCTGTCTTCAAGACTCCAGGTACTTAGCAAAAGCTGTTAAGAACATGGCTAAAAATCTGCGCTGCAAGATTCCTAGAGGAGGGGCGGGAGGGGGGGCAGGGAGGATGTCTCTGGGAAGCAGGGTTCTCTTGCCACTCCTCTCCACCCCCTTTAACGCCCAAATTTTCTGCTCTTGACTAATCTGGCCATAAAATCTGTCATCAATGGTTAGAGAGCTATATTTTCTACAGGACAGTCTGGGCCCTGATTGCCTTAGAAGAACTCTGGATACTGCAGCCAACTGGTTTGTTACAAAACTTGTAGAGGTGTCCAAGGGCACAGCCAGGGAGAAAACCCTTCCCAGGCCCCACAGCACAACTTGCAGACAGCTGCTATCTGGCTTTCCGCCTGCTAACCACCGCCCAAATGGAATGCATATTACATATAATATATATTATATACATGTAGTTTTTGTTAAGCGGTTACACACCACCCTCTCTGACCCTCTGGCCCAGTTAAGAGCAGTTCCTTAAGAGCCTGCCCCTGCCTCTTTCTGTCCTCACAGCGGCTGCATCCAGGTCCTCCACCCCCCCCCCTTCTAGTCAGACTACTCCTTTTATTTTCTTTCCTTTTTTTTTTCTATAAATACTCACCACCACCCACGAGGACGTTACACTGACAGAAAGTTTCTAGTTCCAGTTTTCCGCTGAGTTGCCATTTCTCTGCTAACCAGCCTTCTCCTTTAGGCTGGGCGGCAGAGAGAGAAGGGGGGAGGGGAGGCCAGAGCCGTGGGAGTTCTCCGGGGCAAACTTTCCACCCAAGTTAGCGCCTTCCCTCTGTCCCCATTTCCCATCTGTTTCCTGGCCCTCCCAGAATTACCTTTCTTTTTTGCTACCCCCTCCCTCAGGCCTTTTTTTTTTAAGGGACGTGGAATTTAGGCTGTTCCCTCTGCTTTCCCAAAGAGCCAAATTCTTTGATGCAATCGGAGGGAGCTGTCAGGGGGCTAAGATTGATCGCCTCATCTCCTCCTGGTCCCTCTGACCCACTTATTTAAAAATCGTCCCCCAGATCGACTTTTCGTTTTCAGCTTTGAGGCCTAGTTTCCCACCAAATTGCTTGTGGCTCTGAGTTTTGTGTCTCCTCCCTCTAGTAAATCGCAACATTCTAAAGTTGAGCCTCTCATAATCTCTTCACAATAGAATATATTAGTTTTTTCCCCCTCCGGGGGCCATAAACAGACTATAATCTCAGTGGTGGTCGTTATTTCTTCTCCTTCCATTTTTTAGGATTTTTTTTTTAAAAAAAACCAGGGATTAAAAAAATTGCATAAAAGCAAATGTGTGAGAGGCTCTGTCCCTTTGTCTTGAGGGACAGTGCCTCCCCCATGCATTGACTTTAGCTTTGAAAGTTGGAAGTGAATGGTTACCTTGGCGCCTTGGATATAGACATGGATACGACCTGAGGGCTATGAATGTATCTGCCATCTTAGGCCTTCTTAGACCCTCCTATTGCCAGTGCTGGGGTGTCATAGAGCGTGAGTGTAAAAGACCCCGCCAGGAAGGCAGGTGGACATCAGGAAGGGCCTGTAAATGCTGGGCAGAGACTAGGATCCAGGGCGCAAAGCTGCGGAGAAAGACCGGAGACCCAAAGTGCTCCTGGTGTTTCCCTGTGCTGTGCCAGCCTGTGCGTTTTCTTAAGTTCGAACCGCCGCTTCTTGTGGGCGGGCGGGTGGGTGGGACGCTGCCGCTGGTGGGTACCGCTGCCTTTCATCTGTCTCCGTTCTGATTTTCACTTTAATACTGACCTTTCCCCCAAAGAGTGGAAGCCTTCTGCTACCCCCACTTCCTCCCAAATGGGCTTTTCTCTTTTAGGGGGTGTGAGGGAAGGTGGTTGAGAGGATACTGGTGGCCACATAAAGAAAGCATATTAATTGACTCAATTAAAATCCTTAGACAAGAAGGCCATTTCTCCCTTCAATGTGCTTGTTTGCGCAGGCTCCCACCTCCACACAGTCTCTGAAGGCGAGGAAGCGGGTCTTCTGGCTTTTCTGGGAAAGAAGAGCAATTGGGGAGAGTGTGGGCTCTGGAGTTGGGATGGGGGTACAGGAGGAAGGTTTATGGTATCCAGGTCGTGGTCCTCTGGAGTTTTTGAATCAATTAAAGCAAATAATGCCTGTGTTTTCCACCAGGCCCAGACGAGCGATTGGCGGAGACCGGTCCCGTGACCATGAATTCCCTGCAATTTCGTCGGAGTCCTGGGTTTAATAGAGACAGTCCCCATACGCTTGTATTTATCAGCAATATACAATTATAAAGGCCTAAATTTGAAAAAAAAAGAGAGCGAGAAATTCCCCTCCCCCGCGAAATCGCTTCAGTGCATAAACCTGGGGGGGGGCGGGAGAGGGGGTCCCTTCCGATCCTGCCTCCTGACGCCCCCCCCAGCAGGCCCCCTCCCCCACCATTGAAAGCCATGAATTTTGAATTTGAGAGGGAGATTGGGTTTATAAACAGCCAGCCATCGCTCGCCGAGTGTCTGACTTCCTTCCCCGCTGTCTTGGAGACATTTCAAACTTCATCAATCAAGGAGTCGACATTAATTCCTCCTCCTCCTCTGGAGCAAACCTTCCCCAGCCTCCAGCCCGGCGCCTCCACCCTTCAGAGACCCAGGAGCCAAAAGCAAGCTGAAGATGGGCCTGCTCTGCGGCCACCGCCGCCACTCCCCGCCGCACCCCCAGCCCCCGAGTTCCCCTGGATGAAAGAGAAGAAATCCGCTAAGAAACCCAGCCAAACAGCCGCTTCTCCTCCAGTCGCTTCCTCGGTTCGGGCCTCCGGGGTCGGATCACCTTCAGGTGGGTAAGCGTAGTGGGGGCGGGGTGCGGGGCAGCTGGAAGAGAGGGGAGAAAGTGAAATGGTGGGGAGTCTGGTGGGGCTCCCTGGGTCGATGGATTGTGGGATTGGGGAAGTAGAGTATCCCGCTGAAGTCCAGGCCTAGCCACTACCAGCACCACCACCGCTACCCACCAGCAGATTATGGAAGCTGACTGGGAGTGGGGAGGGGAGAGGGTATTTTTTTATGTGCTAAAAGAAAATTGAAGTGTTTCCCCTTTATCTGTGTAGAGGAATGAAGTGTTGTGCCTGAGATTGAATCTGGAGCCAGGAAAAGATGCTATCTTTCCATTTCTCTCAAGCCTAGGAGAGAAGGGGAAATTCAAAAGCTAGGAAGAAAAGGGGTGAAGATCCCTCTCTCCAGGTTGAGGTGGAAAGTTCCGAATTGAGGGGTCCATTGGGAAGACTGGGGGAGGGAGGCTCTGAGGTTCTGGGAGAGAAAAGGAATTGCTCCCCGCCCCCTACGTGGACCGTGGGCGGCTCTGAATGCACCGACCTGACCCGGGCCAGGTCTTCCTGCGTGGGAGAGCGGGGGGGAAAAAAAAACCCAACCAAAAACAAAAAACCAAAGCCACAGAAAGGGAACCGCTTTGGGGGGTGGGGTGGGAGCCTGGGTACGGCTGCTGATTGTCTTTTTAGAGGACTGGGTGCTCCCGATCTCCGCTAAAAC